AGTTCTAAGTTTGATCAGTGAACAAGCCATGGGATTTTTCAATGACCCTTGGGGGCTCATTAAAAGTTGACACACAATTCCTATCTGCACTTCACTTGGGCAAATAAGGAGTCCCTCATCAACCACAGAGCTGCAGGCAGATGAGGTTTGATCTATAGCTCGGGGCTAAGGTGAAGGCAGACACACAGGCTCACTCCAGTCCGGAGGAATGGTCCCCAGATAGTATCCCCTTATCCTCTAAACTTAGATGTTTAATTAGCAGCAAGAGACATAGGTAGGAATTAGAAGTGGTCCTTCGGCCGGGCGCGGTGGCTCACGCCTGAAATCCCAGCACATTGGGAGGCCGAGGCGGGTGGATCACCTGAAGTCAGGAGTTCGAGACCAGCCTGGCCAACATGGTGAAACCCCATCTCTACTAAAAATACAAAAATTAGTTGGGTGTGGTGGTGAGTGCCTGTAATCCCAGCAACTCAGGAGGCTGATGCAGGAGAATCACTTAGCAGATCAAACATGAGGTTTCCTGCCTCTATTTACTGTCAAGCAGCTGTTTATCTCAGAAAGAGTAGACCTCTTGAACAAGATGTTTTCATTTTGATTCTCCTGCCTCAGCCTCCTGAGTAGTTGGGATTACAGGCACGCATCACCACGTCAGTTAAATGCTACAGAAAGTACCACGGCATCCTGGCCCTCAGAAGCAAAGCGTGGAAAACACTTGGTGCCAAGTGTGGCCCTGTGGACTTTCCATGCCTCTGGAGTAGATGGAGGGGAAGGTCTCCAGAGCTCTGAGAGGGGCCGAGGCTTCTACTTCTATTGTAATGCTAACTGCACTATGTCATATAAGTTGCTTAATAGACATATCCCTTGTTCCTTCCACTAGACTGGCCGCCTGAGAAGGTAGGACCACTTTGGACTCACTCATCATTGTGTCCCACCACCCAGCACCTAATAGGTGCTCAACAAATACTTGCTGAGAAAACAAGCAAATGACTGTCTCATTCCAGCGCTATGGAGAGTGTGTGAGTTGCAAAATCCTTCTGACATGTGAATGGCTATTCCTGAGTTTATCTGAAATTCATTTTCCAGGTGTGACTGACCTCATTTGGACCCACTGTTCCTTCTGTGTTTATCATAGACAGACAGTATCGCCCATGTAGATGAGTGTAATCTTGGGGCTGTTGGGACTCTTTGAAATCAGACCCCTGACTGTCTTTCTTGGCTCCATAAACCACTCTCCACTCCTTGCTGCCCAAGGCCCCTTGTCATTATTGTCACTCTCCACCTTCCCGCGTCTCTCTCCCCCACTTCTCCGTTCCTACTCCACCCCCCCTTCCTCCTCCTCCTCCTTCTCCTCCTTCTCCTTCTCTGTCTTCCTCCTCTTCTTCTTCTTCTTCTTCCTCTTCTTCTTTTTTTGAGATGGAGTCTTGCTCTGTTGCCCAGGCTGGAGTGCAGTGGCATGATCTCAGATCACTGCAACCTCTGCCTCGTGGGTTCAGGCGATTCTCCTGCCTCAGCCTCCTGAGTAGTTGGGATTACAGGCACGCATCACCACGTCCAGCTAATTTTCCTACTTTTAGTGAAGATGGAGTTTCACCATGTTGTCCAGGCTAGTCTCGAACTCCTGGCTTCAAGTGTTCCACCTGCCTCAGCCTCTCAAAGTGCTGGGATTACAGGTGTGAGCTGCCACACCCGGCCCATATTGGCTTTCTCCTCCTTCTCCTCCTCCTCCTTCTTCCTTCCTCTTCCTTCTCCTTCTTCTTCCTCTTCTTCTCCTTCTGTTTCTCCCTCTGCTTCTCCTTCTTCTTCTCCTTCTCCTTCTTCTTCTTCTTGAGATGGAGTCTTAGTCTGTCGCCCAGGTTGGAGTGCAGTGGCATGATCTCAGCTCACTGCAACCTCCTCCTGGGTTCAAGCGATTATCCTGCCTCAGCCTCCTGAGTAGCTGGGATTACCGGTGTGCATCACCATGCCTGGCTAATTTTCCTATTTTTAATAGAGACGGAGTTTCACCATGTTGGCCAGGCTGGTCTTGAACTCCTGACCTCAAGTGATCCACCCACCTCAGCTTCCCAAAGTGTTGAGATTACAGGCGTAAGCCATCACACCTGGCCCATATTATCTTTCTTCTTTTCCTTGGATGGGCACCTCGGGTCCTTGGAACATGCTCTTTCCTCTGCCTGGTGCACCCTTTCCTCTCCTTCTGCTCCTGGAGCAGAATGTCTTGGCTGAAATGCCACCTCCTCCGTGAAGCCCCAACCACCTGTCCTGGTTTCTAAGGATGAGGTTGTTCAGCCCCTACAGCCACTGCCATCTCTTCCTCACACTCCTCATGCTCTTTTCTAAAACTCAGCCAATAATTCATCCTCTGCCTTCTCCCTCCACTGTAAAATCCACAAGAGCAGGCATCATGTCTGCCCTGGCCACTGCAGTCACCCCAGCTCCTGGCTCAGTGGTGAGCTTGGATGTTCTGGGCAGATCTGTTACATGTGTGGTAGCTGGGGCTGAACTTCCTCTGAGCTAGAGATAAGTTATCTCATGCACAGTCTTTATGCACTGAGGATGGTCATTTTTATCATCTTAAGCAGCTACTGTGGTGGTTTTGATGTCTTCTTGTTATCAAGCAGCAGATCAAACATGAGGTTTCCTGCCTCTATTTACTGTCAAGCAGCTGTTTATCTCAGAAAGAGTAGACCTCTTGAGCAAGATGTTTTCATTTTTTTAATTGAAAAAAATTTTTTTGTAAAGATGAGGTCTCATCATGTTGCCCAGGCGGGTCTCGAACTCCTGAACTCAAGTAATCCTCCCATCTTGGCCTCTCAAAGTGCTGGGATTATGGGTGTGAACCACCGTGCCTGGACTTTTTATAACTTAAAAAAAGAAATTTTAGAGGCCGGGCACAATGGCTCATGCCTTATGCCTGTAAGCCTAGCACTTTGGGAGGCTGAAGTGGGTGGATCACCTGAGGTCAGGAGTTCAAGACCAGCCTGGCCAACATGGTGAGACTCCATTTCTACTAAAAATATAAAAAATTAGCCGGGCATGGTCGTGTGTGACTGTAATCCCAGCTACTCGAGAGGCTGAGGCAGGAGAATCATTTGAACTCGGGAGGTGGGGGTTGCAGTGAGTCGAGATCGAGCCATTGTACTCCAGCCTGGGCAACAAGAGAGAAACTCCATCTCAAAAAAAAAAAAGATTAGAGACAAGCTCTCAGTCCGTTCCCAGCCTGGAGTGCGGTGGCGCAATCACAGTTTATTGCAGCCTTGACTTCCCAGGCTCAAGTGATCCCCCTGCCTCAGCCTCCCAAGTAGCTGGGGACAACAGGCAGATATTTCACCTTTCTTGTTAGCTGTGTTTCTCGGTATTTTATTTTTTGTGTGGCTATTGTGAATGAGATGGTGTTCTTGATTTGGCACTCAGCTCGGACATTGTTGGTGTGTAGAAATACTATTGATTTTTTGCACACTGGTTTTTATTCTGAAACTGCTGAAGTTTTTTATCAGATTGAGGAGTTTTTGGGCAAAGACTATGGAGTTTTCTAAGTATAAAATCATATCATCTGCAAACAGAGATAGTTTGACTTCTTCTCTTCCTATTTGGATGTCTTTCATTTCTTTTTCTTGCCTGATTGCTCTGGCTATGACTTTTAGTACTATGTTGAATAGGAGTGATAAGAGTGGGTATCCTTGTGTTATTCTGGTTCTCAAAGGGAATACTTCCAGTTTTTGCTCATTCAGTATGATGTTGGCTGTGGGTTGACCATAGATGGCTCCTATTATTTTCAGGTATATTCCTTTAATGCCTTATTTGTTGAGGGTTTTAACATGATCTCTTCACTTTGCCAACACTTGTTTTCTTTCATCTTTTTGATGTTGATCCAAGTACACACAATTTCAGTTAGGCAGGAGGACCAAGAGATCTACTGTACTATAGTTGGTGACTATAGTTATAACAATCTATTGTATATTTGAAAATTATTGAGAGTAGATTTTAAGCATTCTCACCACAAAAAGAAATGATAAATGTGTGAGGTATGCATATATTAACTGGCTTGATAGAGCCATTCCACTATGTATACATATATCCAAATGCTGTGATGTGCAGCATAAATATGTACAAATAAATAAATATATTTATTTATTTCCAATAAAATACACTTATTTCATGTATCTGATCCCAAACACATGAAATCTGGCAGATACTCTTTTTTAAGTTGGCATTTTCGATAAATGGCACTGAGTCAACTGACTAGCCACATGGATATTTTATTCATTTATTCATTCATTCATTTAGAGACATAGAGTCTTGCTCTGTCACCCAGGCTGGAGTGCAGTGGCGTGATCTTGGCTCATCGCAACCTCAGCCTCCTGGATGCAAGCGATTCTCGTGCCTAAGCCTCCCAAGTAGCTAGGAGGCGTGCACCACCATGCCTGGCTAAGTTTTGTATTTTTAGTAGAGATGGGGTTTCGCCATGGTGCCCAGGCTGATCTTGAGCTCCTGGCCTCAAGTGATCTGCCTGCCTGTGGAAACTGGACACAGTAGTAGGGTGGACGCCTCAGGTTATAAATGACCCCGTCTCCTTTGTTCGGTATACTCTCGTGGCAAAACTGCTGGCGAGCGTACCCTTTCTGCAGGAAGTAAAAATGGCCTTGCTAAATAAATTAATGTTCAAGTTGCTATTTCTTTAGGGCACCAAAAAACAAGCATTTCAACCACTATTTATTCTTAATTAGATGAAGAAGGAAGTCTTTGAAGAAGAACCTCTACTTTTCTTTTTACATCCGGACACGAGGAAGGCACAGGCCCAGGGACCAAGAACCGCCCATTTGGGCTCCGCGCAGCCAAGTGTTTTATCCTGTCTCCTGTCATTCTAACCCCGGGGGCGCGGGAAGGGGACCCGATGCGGTATCCAATCAGGGACACTGTGGGGGCCGTGCTAACTGTACAATCAGGAGCCTAGCCGTAGCCGGCGGGGGGGACGTGGCGGGCGGTGGGTGCTTCAGCTTCTGGCGGTTTCTTTGTTTTTTCGCTCCCGCCACGCTGGGTTTGGCGTCTTTGCTGCTGGCACAGGTCCCCCGGTAATCCCCGTCGCCGCCCCTCTGTGAAGTGAGCAGCCCCGGGGTAGGACGCCGGGACACCCGGAAGCCGGAAATGCTGAGTGTGCGGGGGCCGGACGTCCCGAGACCTGAGGAGGGGCTGGTGGAACCCGCCGGATCTGGCTGTGGCGGGACCCGGACCTGTCCGCTGTGACTCCGGGGTCTGGGACCCGAGTCCCCCTGGAGCAGCTCGGCCCTCGGTGTCCTCGGCCGCAGGGTAGGGCTGGGCGGGCAGCTGGGACTCCGGGCGTCCTGTTCCGTCCCTGCGCGGTGACTGTCGCCCCGGAGCCCTCTCTGGGCAGCTCCGCGCCCGCAGCCCCGTGTCTCCCCAGATTGCGCGGAGACCACGGGAGGGTCATGAGGGGATCCCGCCTCTGGCGTGGGATTCTTGTGGGAGGAGCCGTGGCCTGTGGGCTCCCCAGTCCCGCCTTTCTCCCGTAGGCGGCCCCCGCTTCTCCCTGAGTCTTCCAAAAGGTGTGCGAAGCCGGGTCTCCGCGACCCGGTCCCCCAGCCTCGCTCCCCCTTGGGCTGGCGGTAAATCTTGTAATAAACGTTTCCCTCCCCACATTCCCTAACGCCAGCGTCTCCACTGCAATCCACATGGTTCTCAACTGTTAGTCCCTTTGTTGTGCGTTTCAAACCAACTTGGCATTTAAATGATCGTTTTTTCCACAGAGCAGTGGCTGATTCTTTTAGGAAGATTTGTTTTCTATCTGCGACCTTTTCACATACAAGGAAAGGAGAGGAAAACCACATGAAACGCCTCTGCTTAAAAAAAGCCTTAGTGCCGCTCCTTTTTTCTTAGACACCTCATCAGACTGCCTTTGCGTTGAGGTTCCTGTCCCGCGTGTCCGTGTAGAAGACCACCTAATCAGGCTTTGTGTGAACAACAAGGCTGTTTATTCACTTGGGTGCGAGTGGGCTGAGTCCGAAAACAGAGTCAGCGAAGGGAGATAGGAGAGGGGCAGCTGTATAGTGCTGGGGTAGGCGGTGGAAAGTTACAGTTAAAGGTGGTTATCTATTGTCAGCAGAGGAGGGGTCACAAGGTGCATGCGGGAGAGATCATACAGGAGAAGAATGTCACAGCATCGATTGATCAGTTGGGGCAGGGCAGGACCAAGTCATAATGGTGGAATGACATAAGGTGGGTTAATTAGTTAAGGCAGGAACTGGCTGTTTCACTTGGTGGTTTTTCAGCTGCTCCAGACTTCTTGGCTCCTGTAAGCCATCTGGACATATATGTGCAGGTCACAGGGGTTACAATGGCTGAGCTTCAGCTCAGAGGCCTGGCATTTTTGTCTTTTTATTTATAAAACATAAAGTTAAAAGATAAAATGTCAATTCCTTCTAGGGATTATTGGGGTAGGGGCGATGTTTCTCAGGACTGCTTCAAGCGTGACCAGGGACTGTGTGGACACCTTAAATAACATTTTATAATGAGTTAGTCCAATAAGTTTCAGGTCTAGATTGCATTTTTATGTAGCTAACAAGGTGCCAGGTAGCATATTTTTGAGCTTGGAACTGCCCTAATAAAATAAGTTCTCTAAAAGCAGTAATCAGGCATATTAGTGTTAATGTAGGTGGCGATGCGTTTTTAGGCCAAGGAAGGAACAATGTTTTATGTATCAAAGCCTTTTGTCCCCATTTTCCATCATATGAATAGGATTCCCGTTGTTAAGCCAATGATCTATTATATTACCCTTTCCCATAGGTGTGAGTGGCGTTCTGAATGGAGAAGTTCAATAGTTCTGAGTGCGGATCCTAAGCAGGAGAGATCATAAGGAAAATAATCTTTGTCTCCTGGATTAAGCTGAGGCTGGTGAAGAGAGAAATGTCCCAAGCCCTCTAACAATGGCATACTTTGTGCTGTCCTGGGTGCTGGTCTGGTTGCCAAATATGTGGAACTGGCCCCGTATACGCGTACTATTGTCCATTTCTTTAAGAGTAGGCTTGAGGACACCATGGGCAAGGATCTGATGGTTGCCAGCCTAAGCGTTTTAGACTTTTGACCCAGAGATTTTTTGTCCTGGGTGTGGAAAAAATGTTAGAGGATAGGGTTTCAAGATATCCTTTTTATAGGCGGCAGGTCCTAAGAGATTAGGGTCCAGAGGAACGGATGAAGCCTGCTTGGAAGCATGCTTGGATGGCCGTTTGGAAGGAATGTTGCACGGAAGCATGGCCTTGACTGGGCGCTGCCAGGAGCTTAAGGGTTGTAGGTTGTTTGTCTGGTCGGCTCTCGGCCTAATCTTGCAACTTCCAGGAGGAAGACGAGAGATCAGGCTGGCTGGCTGACGGGCACAGCTTTATTCTGGAGTGGTGAACCCAATGGAGAGGGTCCTGCAGTTGGACAGCAGTTGGGGTGCTATAGATGACCAGGTAGGGTCTGGTCCGTTGGGGCTGTAGAGTTTGAGGGGTCACACTTTTGACAAGGACTGATCATCCAGCTAGGGTGTCTTCATGTGGCTGGGAATCTGCAGTAGGTAAGAGAAGATTAGCAGCCTGGTGAATTTCCTGTCTAGCCTGCTGGAGGACTGGAAGATAGTCACCCAGGGGGCTGGTGTCTGGAACAAGGTTGGGGCGAGTAAGAAGGTGTGTCCATATAAAAGTTCAAATGGACTGTACCCTGTGGCATCTCGAGGACAGGCCCTAATTCTGAGGACGGCAAGTGGTAAAAGTACTGTCCAGTCTTTTTAAGTTGGAGGCTGAGTTTGGTGAGGTATGTTTTTAAAAGGCTATTCATCTGTTCTACCTTTACTGAAGATTGAGGACAGTAGGGGGTATGAAGTTTCCACTGAATACCAAGAGCCTGAGAAGCTGTGGAAGTAGGGAGGCCAAATCGGGGAATTATGTCTGTCAGAAGGGAAAAATGACTGTAGTAGCCTTTTCAGAGCTAGAGGGAAAGGCCTCGACCCATCCGGTGAAGGTATTGACCCAAACCAGGAGATACTGAAATTTACAGACACAGGGGCATGTGAATAAAGTCAATTTGCCAATCTTGTGTTGGAGTAAATCCATGAGCCTGATGCGTAGGAAAAGGAGGAGGCCTGAGAAAATCTTGGGGATTGGTGGCATGGCAGACAGAGCATTGAGAGGTGATGGTTTTAAGGATGGGTTTCCGTGATGGGAAGGAAATGAGGGGCTGTAGGAGGCCAGCCAGAGGCTTATATCCTACATGGAAATGGTCATGAAGGGAAGAGAGAATAGACTGGGCTTGTGAGGCGTTAAGAACAAAGAAAGATTTAGGGTGAGTCACACTGGGACCAGAGGCTAGGGAGGGAGCGAAGTATAAAAAAATCCCTGGACGTAAGGCACCTCAGACCATTTGCCATATTTTGACAAAAATTATCTAGGTCTTGTAGGATGGAGAAATCGAAAGTGCTGTTTTCTGGCCATTTGGAAGCATTGTCAAGTTTATATTGGGGCCAAGCAGTATTGTAGAAGAAAATAAGACGTTTGGGTTTTAGATCAGGTGTTTAAGAGGTTTTAAGTTTTTAAGTACACAGGCTAAGGGGGAAGAGGGAGGAATGGAGGGTGGAAGGTTGCCCATAGTAAAGGAGGTAAGTTTAAAGAGAAAAGTAGAGACACGGAGAAGGGCGGAGGTGAGCAGTCAAAGCAGGCGTCCCCGCAATTGACTTGACACCATGGGAATGTGGGTGAATGACCAAGGCAGGCATCCCTACGATAATCAGACACCAATGGAATGTGGGTGGATAATCAGGCAGGCATCCCCGCAGTGATCAGACACCAAGGGAAGACTGTCTTCCCGAGTCTGTGACCAGCGCCGGAGTTTCGGGTCCACGGATAAAATGTGTCTCCTTTGTCTCTACTAGACAGGAAAAAGACTGGACAGGGAGATTGGAGGGTAGCGAGAGAGGCTGGAGAAAAGAGTGAAGAGACCGCTAACCCGATTTGAAATTGGTGAGATGTTCCTTGGGCTGGTCTGAGGACCCGAAGTCGTAGGTGGATCTCCTCACGGAGTGAGGGCGAGGACAGGGGACCGGTCTCCGGAAGGAGTCCCCTTGTCCCCGGTTTCAGCACCAAGTGTCACGCATGCCCATATAGAAGTCCACCTAAACAGGCTTTGTGTGAGCAACAAGGCTGTTTGTTCACTTGGGTGCAAGTGGGCTGAGTCTGAACAGAGTCAGCGAAGGGAGATAGGAGAGGAGCAGCTGTATAGGGCTAGGGTAGGCCGTGGAAAGTTAGTTAAAGGTGGTTATCTATTGTCAGCAGAGGAGGGGGTCACAAGGTGCATGGGGGAGAGATGATGGGACTCATTGTCCAGGAGAAGAATCTCACAGGGTCGATCGATCAGTTGGGGCAGGGCAGGACCAAGTCATAATGGTAGAATGTGGTAAGGTGGGTTAATTAGTTAAGGCAGGAACTGGCTGTTTCACTTCTTTGTGGTTTTTCGGCTGCTGCGGACTTCTTGGCTCCTGCCGGCCATCTGGACATATATGTGCAGGTCACGGGTTACAATGACAGAGCTTTGGCTCAGAGGCCCGACAGTTCCCTTTTGGAAACGTTGCAGGGTGATGTGACCTCACCCTCTTATCTTTTCCTGGTCCTGAGTTTCCCAACTGCCTGGGGCTGATCTAAGATGCCCACAAGCTGCCGGGTATCTTGGAGGGTCATAAATGTCAGCTCCTGGGTCATCTCTTCCCAGAGGACAGCCTGAGATGTGCCTGTGGGACCTCTCAGGGGAGCTGCTGGGTGCACCCCCTCCCCCCACCGCCCAGGAGGGAGGAGTCTCTTGGTATCTCCCACCATCATCTAAAAGGAAACCCGTTAGGACATTTAGCTTTTCTCACCCCAAGCCCAGTTCTCACTTCTCGGAAATACCTGTCTGGTCAGCCACTCAGATGCTGCTATTGAAGGGAGAAGACTGGAATAATCCCTGTCCTTTGAATCCTCTTATCCTAGTGAAGGGAGAAAACGATGGCTAAGGACAGGAAAACCACGCTCACTGAGATGGTGCAAAAAGCTGAAACACACACAATGCAGTGTCTTCTGGGAGGGTGGTCACTGAGTATATAAGTGAGCAGCACAGGTTTGGGACCCGTCTCTGGGTCTGTCACCTTGAAAAGGTTTTTTTTTTTTACTTACTTACTTATTTATAATAGAGTCAGGTTCTCACTACATTGCCCAGGCTGATCTCAAACTCCTGGGCTCGAGTGCTGGGATTACAGGTGTGAACCACTGCACCTGGCCTCTTATTTGAACCTGTTTTTTTTTGTTTGTTTGTTTTTTGAGACTAAGTCTCATTCTGTCACCCAGTGGTGTAACCCAGGTCATGAGTGTGAGTGACCTCAGTTACTCCAGTCCCTGCAGCTACGTAACAGCTCAGCCACCCACAGACACGGTCGCAATATAGTCTCACAACTGAAGAAGACGCCAAGGTTATATTTCTTCCTCAGCACTGGTTTTGTTGTGTCCCATAAGACAGGGATTCCCCAACCCCAGCTAGTACCGGTCTGTGGCCTGTTAGATCTGGGCCACACAGCAGGAGAGTGGCGGAAGGGGTGGGGCGGGGTGAGCATTACCACTTGAGCTCTGCCTCCTGTCAGATGGATCAATGGTGGCACGCTGGCATTAGATTCCTATAGGAGTGTGAACCTTATTGTGAACTGGGAGAAATTTAAGGTAATTTAAAGGACTAATCGGGATTATAAAATATGCTCACACTACATAAGTAATATGCAAACATTACATGGGATCTGGGTTGGGTGCTCCTTATGAGAATCTCATGCCTGATGATCTATTATTGTCTCCCATTACCCTCAGATGGGACAGTCTAGTCGCAGGAAAACAAGCTGAGGGCTCCCACTGATTCTACATGGTGAGTTGTATCATTACCTCATTATATATTACAATGTAATAATAATAGAAATAAAATGCACAATAAATGTGATGCACCTGAATCATCCCGAAACCATCCCCCAACCCCAGTCCATGGAAAAATTGTCTTCCATGAAACTGGTCCCTGGTACCAAAAAGGTTGAAGCCTGCTGATGTGCAGAATATGGAGTATTTCCACAGTACCCATGCAATAGTCATAAACTCAAAAGCACAGACAATGGTAAAATATATACGCAATAATTGAGAAGTGATACATTTTAAGCAGTTATTACCATTTTAAGCTTCTAGAGTTTATCACTTTCTCACCTGCTTAATCTTTAAGAAATTTATTGTCTCTAACAACTTCTGAGACTTTCAGATAGAAGAATCAATCTCCTTATAATCTGTATTTACAGAAGACCTGTTATCTATTGATAGGTGCTGAAAATAATGCTAAGGATCATAGATGAACCTTTTCAATTATGACAGAAGTGAGAAGACAGAGCTCAGTCCTAGATTCCCTTAATTTATTTCATTGTAATTTCAGGCAATTTACTTTTAATCAGAGCTGTGTTTAACAACGAGGTTGCAAAATATTTCAGACGTTGACAACTGGCTCTTCTGAGTTGGTTGAAGCTGTAAAGTCATCACTTCTCCCCGTCCCGTCCTCCCCCAGGTGGCTGAACATGTCACTCATAGGATTTATTTAGTTATTTTTAATTTGTAAATAATTGTTGGTAGAGATGGGGGGGGTCTCATTATGTTTCCCAGGCTGATCTCGAACTCCTGGCCTCAAGTAATCCTCCTGCCTCGGCCTCCCAAAATGCTGGGATTACAAGGATTTAAACCCTCTGGTGACTCGCCAGACATCAAGAGGAAGCCACAGCTCCTTTGACCACCCTCCAGGGCTTCTTAAGCTGTCCTGGCCACCTCTCCAGACCCTCTTCCATCTTTCTCCTCTCCCTGCCTCATGTCCCTGGCTTACTAGACTTCATTCAGGCTCATTCCACCACATCCCTCTGAAGCCATCTTCAAGGCTCTTGTTCTGTCTACCTGTAGCACCTTTACTCTGATCTTCTGACTGGTCGAAGTCTACTCATCCTTATGATTCCCATCGCCAACGTGATGGACTTTTCCTGGTCCTGCCACCCCTCTGTGCTAGCTCAGCATCGATCGCACCGTGAATTTTTTTTTTTTTTTTGAGATGAAGTCTCACTCTGTCACCCAGGCTAGAGTGCGGTGGCATAATCTTGGCTCACTGCAACCTCTGCCTCCTGGGTTCAAGTGATTCTCCTGCCTCAGCCTCCCAGGTAGCTGGGATTACAGGCGCTCACCACTGTGCCCAGCTAACTTTTGCATTTTTAGTAGAAATGGGGTTTCACCATCTTGGCCAGGCTGGTCTCGAACTCCTGACCCCATGATCCACCCGCCTCGGCCTCCCAAAATGCTGGGATTACAGGCGTGAGCCACCGTGCCCAGCCACTGTGACTTAATTTTAACTTTAATATTCATTTCTTTCCTGCCACTGTGTACTCCATAGGAGAAGGTATCCAGCTTCATTTATCTTTGTACCTTGGTGCCAGGTACACAGTTGTTGCTCCATAAATGTTTACGTATTACTTACGTAGTGTGAGCATGTTTTATAATCCCGATTAGTCCTTTTATGTGCTCCTGGAACAGATAAGATAGAAACGGTTAAGTTCAAAGTTTATTCATTCTATTTATATCATTCCAAGTTTTCACAAATCTCTCCAAAAATTTTAAGGCTTTAATTTGTATACCTGCTCCCATATCTTATTTCTGCGGGTCCTTCCAGTGTGTCTAAATTCCCCCAAGACAAAGGTGCCAAGAACAAACACTGGGGAAGTGAGCCGTCTTCAATAAATGATCCTGGGAAAAGCAGATATCCATGTATAGAAGAATGAAACTAGACCCTTATCTCTCACCATATACAAAAATAAAGTCAAAATGGATTAAAGACTTAAATCTAAGTCCCCAAACTACTAAAATAAAACATTGGGGAAACTCTTCAGGACATTGGTCTGGGCAAAAATTTCTTGAATACAAGCATAGGCAACCAGAGCAAAAATGGGTGAATGGGATCACGTCAGGTTAAAACCTGCACAGCAAAGGAAACAATAAACAAAGTGGGCCAGGTGTGGTGGCTCACACCTATAATCCCAGCACTCTGGGAAGCCGAGGTGGGCAGATCATCTGAGGTCAGGGGTTCGAGACCAGCTTGGACAACATGTTGAAACCCCATCTCTACTAAAAATCTGGAAAACTAGCTGGGCGTGGTGGCGTGTGCCCATAATCCCAGCTACTCGGGAGGCTGGGGCAGGAGAATTGCTGGAACCCGGGAGGTGGAGGTTACATTGAGCCAAGATTGAGCCACTGCGTTCCAGCCTGGTTGACAGAGTGAGACTCCATCTCAAAAAAATAAAATAAAATAAAATACAAATAAATAAAAAATAAACAAAGTGAAGAGACAATCACAGAATGGGAGAAAATACTTACAAACTATTCATCTGATAAGGGATTAATAACCAGAATACATAAGGGGCTCAAACCACTCAATAGGAAAAAAATAAATAATCTGATTTTAAAATGGGCCAAAGATCTGAATAAATGTTTCTAAAAAGAAGACATACCCATGGCAAACAGGTGTACATCAACCTCACTGATCATGAGAGAAATGCGAATCAACACTGCAAGATAATGTCTCGGCCGGGCGCGGTGGCTCAAGCCAGTAATCCCAGCACTTTGGGAGGCCGAGACGGGCGGATCACGAGGTCAGGAGATCGAGACCATCCTGGCAAACACTGTGAAACCCCGTCTCTACTAAAAAATACAAAAAACTAGCCGGGCGAGGTGGCGGGCGCCTGTAGTCCCAGCTACTCGGGAGGCTGAGGCAGGAGAATGGTGTAAACCCGGTGAATGGGTTTTAAGCCTAGTTACAGTGGACTGATAGTGCGCCATTGCACTCCAACCTGGGCAACAGAGCGAGACTTTGTCAAAAAAAAAAAAAAAAAAAAAAAAAAGATAATGTCTCAACCCAGTTAAGATGGCTTTTATCCAGAAGACGGGCAATAAGGAATGCTTGTGAGGATGTTGAGAGAAGGGAACCCTCATGATTTTTTGGTGGGAAAGTAAATTAATACAACCACTATGGATAACAGTATGGAAGTTTCTCAGAAAACTAAACATAGAGCTCTCATATGATCCAGAAATGCCACTGCTTAGAAAAGAAATCAGTGTATCAAAGAGATATCATGTGTATGGAATTATCCATAAAATTAAGAGCGTAGCTCCTTTCACATAGCGCATGTTTTCAAGGTTCATCTGTAGTGTGGCCTGGACTGGGATTTTATTCCTTTCTGTGGCTGAGTAATAGCCATTAGATGATTATACCACACTTTGTTTATCCATTTATCTATTGATAGACATTTGGATCTTCCACTGATAGACATTTGGATCAGGCCATGCCCCGTGGCTCACACCTGCAATCCAAGCACTTTGGGAGGTCAAGGCAGGAGGATCGCTTAAGCCCAGGAGTTCAAGACCAGCCTGAGAAACAAAGTGAGATCCTACTCTCTACAGAAAAATTAAGAAATACCCTTTGGCTATTGTGAACAGTGCTGCTATGCACATTTGATATCCAAGGCTTTGAATCCTTTTCCGTTCTTTTGGGTATATACCTAGGAGTTAACTTTTTGATAAACTGCCAAACGATTTTGTGTGTTTTTAAAACGCAGATCTGATTCTCCCGTAGATATCTTTCTGTAACTTGGTTTTTCACTCAGCATCTTAGAGTGAACTCTATGTGAGTTTATGCAGACCAAGGTTTCTCAGTCTTGGCAATGTCGACGTTTTTGTGTTGACAAAATGGCTGGAGTGCCGTGGCTACTCACAGGGGCAATCATAACGCACCATTATATATAGTAGTATATAGTCCCATTTGTATGAAATGTCTAGAATAGGTAAGCCCATAGAGCCATAGCCAGAAAACAAATTGGTGGTTTTGAAGGACTGGGTGGGGTATGGGAGGTAAAAATGGGGAGTGGCTGCTAATGGGTGTGAGGGGATGAAAGTGTTTTGGTACTAGACAGAGGCGGCGGCCACACAACATTGTGAATGCATTCAATCCCAGCAAATTGTATACTTTAAAGTGGTTGATTATTTTATGTGAATTTCACCTAAAAAGCAAAACAAAGCAAAAGCAACAACTATGCACAACGGAACTCTGATCTTATGGGTTTGCATTTTTTTTCACATCCTACATGCTCATGAAGATCTGAAGGGATACCCATTAAATTCATTGTCACAATTGCCTGGCTGGCCATTGCATGGGTTGCTGCTTTGTATGTAGCATTTCAATTACATAAGAAGAAACAGGCCAAGCATGGTGGCTCACAGCTGTAATCCCAGCACTTTGAGGGATCAAGGTGGGAGGATCCCTTGAGCCAAGGAGCTCAAGACCAGCCTGGACAACAAAGTGAGACCCCATCTCTACAGAAAAATTAAAACTTAGCCCAGGTGTGGTGGCACGCACCTTTAGTCCTAGCTACTCAGGAGGCTGAGGCAGGAGAATCATTTGAGCCCAGGAGGTTGAGGCTGCAGTGAGCTATAATTGCACCATGGCACTTCAGCCTGGGCAACAGTGCTAGACCCTGTCTCAAAAAATAAAAATAAATAAAAATAAAAACAAGCAAATACATGTGTGTGTGTTGCTTTTAAAAAATTGTTTTAAAAGACATTTACTTGGGCAAATGAGGCAGCTGGAGAAGAATGAAGACGGGGCATATCAAGGCAGCCTCTTCAGCCCCAATGGGCAATGGCAGGGCTGCTCTCCTGTCAATTTCAACAGTCAGGGGCCCAAACCCCAGATTTGGAGAGCATTAGACTCTGCTCAAGCTCTTGAGAAGCTCAGGAAATTGACTCACCCCTGGAAGGCGGGGAGGGAGGGAAAGTGAGGATACAGATTCCCTGAGGCTGCCTCCTCTCTGGCAGGGTCCCCAGGGTCCCAGCGTCCCTGTAGCGGAGACAGAGACAGTGGGACCACAGCGAGGGAAGCTGGTGGGCAGGGAGTCAGGGAGGGATAAATAGTTGCATTTGGGCTCAGTCAAGCCCCCAGCTCAGCTGCTTGGTGCAGCCCACACCTGGTCAGCTCTCACCTGTGGAGAAACTGCAAACTAGAGCCTCCTACTGGGGTGAAGCAGAAGCAGACGCCCGGAGTCCCAGGTGAGTCACCTCCCCTCTCATCCACCTGACCAGGAGAGACCTGGGGAACCAGCACCTGCTAGGGACTCAAAGAAACCACCTGTTTATATGACTTCTTTAGCAATGTGAGTCTACAGGGCAGTGGGTGACAGGCAGAGGCCACTCACCACGTCTTAGTCAGTGTGCTGTTTGCTTGGCAGGACTTACCTCCTTCTTTCTTCTTTCTTCTGTCAGAGTCTCGCCCTGTAGTCCAGGCTGGAGTGCAGTGGTGCGATCTCGGCTCACTGCAACCTCCGCCTGCCAGGTTCAAGCGATTCTCCTCACTCAGCCTCTTGAGTGGCTGGGACTACAGGCGTGTGCCACCATACCTGGCTAATTTTTTGTATTTTTGGTAGAGACGGGCATTTCACCATGCTGGACAGGCTGGTCTTGAACTCCTGATCTTGTGACCCGCCTGCCTCGGCTTCCCAAATTACTGGGATGGGATTACAGGCATGAGCCACTGCGCCCAGCCAGGACTTACCTTCTTTAGAGCTCCTGCTGCCTCATGAGGTAGGTCCCTTGGACAAGTGAGGTAACAGGTGCAGAGAGAAGACAGCCAATGCTCAATGTGACCCAAGGTGATGGTCTGATTTTAACCTCTCTTCTCTGTCTGTCCAGGGAAGAAGTCTATGGAAATAGGTTTGGGAAGAGGCAGAGAAAAGAGAGAAAGAGGATTCAGGGTTCAGAGGCTCCAGCCACCACCCCAGGGTGTAAAGAATCAGGGTGGGCTGGGTGCGGTGGCTCATACCTGCAATCCCAGCACTTTGGGAAGCCAAGGTGGGAGGATCACTTGAACCCAAGAGTTTGAGGCCAGCCTGGGCAGCATAGTGAGACCCCATCTATACAAAAAATACAAAAATTAGCCAGGTGTGGTGGCAGGCACCTGTAGTCTCAGCTGCTCTGGAGATTGAGGTGGGAGGATTGCTTGAGCCCAGGAAGCTAAGGCTGCAATGAACGGTGATTATGCCACTGCACTCCAGCCTGGGTGACAGAGGGATACCCTGTCTCACACACACACACACACACACACACACAAAAGCAGCAGGGAGTCACCAATGGGAGCAGGTGGTGAGGGGATGGTTAGGAGCTGGGGATGAGAAGATGGAGAGGATGGAGAGAAAAGAGAGGGAAGTGGTGGCTTAAGTGGAAGAGAGGGGAGGCTAGACAGCTTCACTAAGAAGAGAGAGCCAGGACGGGTGAGAGGTGAGGCCAGATGGGGTCTCAGAGAAAAGACAGGCCTGGCCCGTGGAGTGATTCTGTCACCCAGGAGACATGTGAGAAGGTATAAGGACATTTCTGATTGTCAGGACTGGGGAATGCTGCTGGTACCTGGTGGGTGGAGACCAGGAATGCTGCTCTGTCTCCTGCAGTGCACAGGATGCCCCCGCCGCCACCGACCCCCAAGAGAGAATGATCCGTCCCTAGTGTCCTTAATGCTGAAGGTGGGAAACCCTGTTCCAGGGATGTCTGTGGGCAGGACTTGTGCACAGCCACGCTTAGCCCCAGAGTTTCTGGGTGGAGAACTGGCCCCACTGGGGGTTCCTGTCCGTGCTAGGCAGTGGGCTTGCTCTCTCTCTCTCTCTGTCTCTCTCCCTTCCTCTCTCTTTCTTCTCGCCTCTTTCTTCTCTCTTTCCCCTCTCTGTCCTCTTTCTCCCTACATCTCTTTCCTCTCTCTTTCTCTTTCTCTTCCCACCTCCCTCTCCTCTCTCTCCACTTCTCTCTCTCTCCCCACTCTTCTCTCTCTCTGTCTCTCTTTCTCTTGCCACCCCTCTCTCTCCCCACCTCCCACTCTCTGTGTCTCTCTCCCCACTTCTCTCTCCTCTCCCCACCTCTCTCTCTGTGTCTTTCTCCTCATCCTTCTCTCTGTCTCTCACTCTCTCCACCTTCCACTCTATCTCTCTCTCCCCACATCTCTCTCTGTGTGTCTCTCTCTCTCCACCTCTCTGTCTCTCTCTCTCTTTCTCTCTCCTCACCTCTCTCTCTCTCTTTCCCCACGTCTCTCTCTCTCTGTTTCTCTCTTGCCACCTCTCTCTCTCTCTCCCCCTGCTTCTCTCTGTCTCTCTGTCTCTCCCCCTGCCTCTCTCTGTCTCTCTCTCTCCCCATCTCTCTCTTTCTCTTCCCACCTTTCTCTCTCTCTGTTTTACCCACAGAAGACCCCGCTGGGTATTCTGCTGGTGAATCAATGCCCAGAAGCTCTAAATCCTCCTCGCTGCTATCCTAGTCCCACATCTACCATGGGTTTTGCTTTGTTTTACTTTTAAAAATTAATAGACTTTATTTTAAGAGCAGTTTTAGATTTACAGAACATTGAGCAGATAGATACTGCAGAGAATCCCCGTATTCCCTCTCTCCCCCTGCACACAATTTCCCCTATAATTAGTAACTGGGATTTTTACCGTAAATTTGTTACAACGGATGAACCAGTGTTGGCACATTGTCATTGACTGAAATCCACAGTTACATTAGAGTTCACTCTTGGGGTTGTACTTTCTCTGGGTTTTAACAAATGCACGATGTCCTGTGTCCACCATGACAGTATCCCACAACATAGTTACACTGTCTTAAAAACCCTCTGTGCCCCACCCATTCATCCCTCCCTCTCACCCGCTGGTCCCTTGGAAGTCACTGATCTTTTGCTGTCTCCATAGTTTTAATGTTTCCAGAATGACTGGATGACCCTTTTAGCTGCATTCTGCACCCCATCATCCCAGAGGGTGTTACATGCAGCCCTCAGCCATGTCCTGCAGATGTGATTGGCTCCTGTCCTCTCAAGGTTTCTCCCTCCCTCCCTTCCTTCCTTCCTCCCTTCCTTCCTTTTCTTCCTCCCTCCCTCCCTCCTTTCTTCCTTCCTCACTCTCCTTCTTTCCTCCAGAGAGTGAGAAAAGAAGAAGAAGAAGAAAGAAGAAGAAGAAGAAGAAGAAGAAGAAGAAGAAGAAGCCAAGAAGAAGAAGAGAGAGAAGAAGCAAGAAGAGGAGGAGGAGGAGGAGGAGGAGGAAGGCAGGAGGAGGAGGAGGAGGAGCGGGGAGGGGAGGAGGAGGCGGGAGGGGGA